CGGGCGTGGAGCTCCGCGTCGGCCGCGGGGAGCCGGGACAGAGCTGCTGGGCCCTAGTCAGCGGCTCCTGCTCCGTGGCCGTGGCGGGCGGTGGCGGGCGGTGGCGGTGGCAGGCCCTGCCCCCAGCTCCCACCCTCTGGCTCTCTGGAACTTCCTGAAGGAGGAGATCCCTGGGCCGGGGTGGGGGGGTGGGCGGGGCAGCCAGGGGACAGCTTGCAGAGTCCTGGGCCGGGTGGCTGAAGGAAGGGCCCACCCTGGGGGCTGGACAGCGGAGCCCAGGCCTGGGCCTGCCCAGGGAGGGAGGGAGGGGCCGGCCCTCTGCCCGGCCGCCCCGGCAGCCGGCTGGGAAGGCGCCCAAGGGAGCTTTAGTGGGATGAGCTGGGCGAGGCGGTGCGCCGCGGCGGCACCCCTGGCTGTCCGGAGCCGGATGAGCTCACCGCTGGCACGGAGCCGCCGGGGCCGGCTGCGCCAGCAGGCCCGAGTGTCCCGGGTGCCCCCACGTCACTGCTGCGCAAAGGCGGGGACACTCCCAGGACCTGACGCTCCCCAAAGGCCCCCGGCACATGGGGCGGGCCGGTTACCGCCGGCCTGGCTTCCCTGGGCTGGGGTCTGGCCAGCGTGGCAGCGGCCATGGCTCTCCTGCCCAGGCTGCCTGCGAAGTGTGGGGGCAGGATGGACGGTCAGATGCGAAGGGCCCAGACATGGGGCTTGTCCCCCAGGACTGGCCCCCGGGTCTTGCCTTGCCCCAGGAGGCCAGGCCCCTACTGTCCAGGAAACTGGAGCTGGCCTCTGGCCCCGCCCGGGCAGCAGGGGTCTCCCCTGGCAGGAGGGGGGGGAGGCGCCCCGCGGGCTCTCAGGCCTCTGGGAGGTGGGCGCCCCCCGCGCCCAGCCTCCCTCCCGCCCTCTGGGCCGTGTTTGCTCTGAATCAGGGAACGTTTTTGAAGTGCGCGGCCCTGCGGCTTTTGTCCCTTATCCTGAGTTGAGGTCTGACCCTCGGGGTGCCTGCGGGAACGGGGCGGGGGCTGGCTGCGGCGCCTGTGCCTGGATTCAGGCTTCGCTGCCTGCCGAAATCGTACTAACCAGGAGCCCCGCTGGCATCCAGCGCTGTGCCCGCACCTTGCGGGCAGCCCCACTGCCCAGAGGGGCGCGGAGCAGGGCGGGAAGCCCCAGCCCAGCGCCTGCAGCGGCGAGGGCTGCGCCCGCCGGGGTCCCTTCTCCCTCCCAGCCTCCGCTTCCTCGTCCGCGCAGTGGGGTGCTGCCACGGGTTCCGTGGGGCACACGAGGGCCTCACGTCCCCATCAGGCTCATCAGGCACCCGGTTCGCGCGGGCCTCTGCTTCGCCAGCCTGCCTTGATCTAGAGCCAGCCCAAAGCCAGCCGCCACACCAGGCCCCAGCGGCTGCTTCCCCCCAGGGAGACGCTCCTCAGGCTGGCGGCCGGGCGGGGGGCGCGGGGCGCGGCCGCCGGGGACGGCTCTGGCACCTCGGAGGGGCCGGATCTGGAGGGGCTCACGGAGGCCTGCACGGGAGGCCCCGGGGGACACCCCACTCCACAGAGCACACTAAGCCTGCGGCGAAGTCCCCTTCTTCTCCACCCCCCATGCCGGGGGGCTGGCGCCATCACCCCGCTTCACAGGCGAGGGCTGGGCGGGGGCTGGTGGGCCCGAGTCCGGAGTTTCTGGGTCTCACCCCGGCTGCTCACCTGGGCCCCTGGGGAGGCTTCCCGGGGCTCGTGGACTCGGAACCCGGGGAGCGGGGCTGGGAGCCAGCGTCTGCGGGCGTCTCAGCGGCTGGAGGTGAGGAACAGGCTTTTTGCAGCTGCTGGGGTGCGGGATATTCCTCGTTCCTTGGGGTCCCCGGCCAGGGGCCAGGCTGCGAGCATGGGAACCGGCACCCCGCACAGGCCCGGGCTGCAGAAGCCTCGAGGGCAGCCAGCTGCACCCCGCTTGAGCATCTCCTGCAGGGTCGGGCTCCTGCTCTGAGGCGCCCCCGCCATTCGCTCCCGCCACCCCAGGCTGCCCGCGGCGCTGCCTCCCTGCCCAGGCGGGCCCAGGCCTGCGACGTCCCTTCCTCGGCCCTGCTCGCCCCCAGGCGCCCCCCGGTTCTCGGGTGCCCCCCGGCATCGGTGTGCGCTTTCTCGGGCCTCCACCTGTACTGGCTTGAGATGTGGCCGGCGGTCAGGCGCCCTCCTGCCCACTCCCCCTGGCCAGTCCAGCTCCCGGCCTGCGTCTGGGCACCGGACCTGGCGCCAGCAGGACCCCGCCCGACGCTCTGGGCTGAGGCGGGCTGCGC